TATAGCACCCCAAACCATAACTCCAACAGTGTGATGAACATGTCTTTCAACAAAAAACTGTGGATTCCTCCTTTCTCCACGTCGCCTTCTAACCCTGGCACGACCATCGTGCATGCCTAAACAAAATCGAAACTCGTCACTAAAGACAATACTGTTCCATTCCTGATCCCAGAGTGACCGTTGTCTGCACCACTCAAGGCGATTACGTCGGTGTTCTCGAGTTAAAGGGAGGACCCAGTGTGGCCGGTATGAAAACAAGCCAAAACTTCTCATTCGTCGGTAAACACTTCGCATGCCAATAGGTCTTCCGTGTTCTGCAAACCATTCATTTGCAATGGACCTGGTAGTGGAGAAACGGTCCCTTAAGGCCAATAATCTTAGGCGGCGATCTTCACGGTCTGTTGTTCTACGGCGGCGTCCAGTGCCCCTTGCTCTTTGCGTACGGCCTTCTCGAAGCCATGCCTGACAACACCTAACCACAGTGTCTACACTTCTTTGCACTCTAACTGCAATTGCCCGAAAAGAAAGTCCAGCTTCCCGAAGTCCCACTATACGGCCCCTATCAAACTCACTAAGTTGACGAAATCGTACAGGTCTCCGTACTCTAGGCATCGTAACCGATCGTAAAGGATGCCAAGAACCAAAATCCGCCAACGTTGCTTCTTTACTGTGGCTGAAATATTCATTTTTAGAGCGTTAGTGAATTAAAAAAAAGCAGTATAAAAACCGGAATGTCCAACTGATAAGGCTGAAAAATTTTTCACTTGTTATTTACAGTAAGATAAATACATTCACCAACTTTTATTAAAATAAAACCATTTAAACTGGGTGTTCGGATTTATATGTCACTTAGTATATAATAGTTATTGTATTCTATCGATCTGATATTTTTTTATATTGACGCAAAGTTGATCTTGCTGAGAATGTGAATTTTCTGGACACAAAATAATTTCACTTTCTGTTTTCAGTATTCTTATTTCCTTGATGATGTTTGGGTTTCCGAACCTGGCATAATTATGATCTGATTCGATTGATAACATGCGAGTAATCTCCTTCAAGGAAACCTCGTATGAAGTTGACGATAACCCGCGAAATATAAAACGATAAGTCATCGAAGATTATGGGTAGACATTATCTGAAATCATTAGCTAAAACGCGATTATGCTTCTTTTTTACTTATTTATAATAATTACGATGCTCTTAGATAACCTCCAAGACGTAAGCAAGATTCAAAAGATACGTTTTCTGGTCACACATACTTTCAGAAATAATGAACGTTATTATTTAAAAAGAAATGTCGAAGAGGATTAAAGAGTATACAGGGTGTCCCGAAAAAAGTGTGCAATATTCTACCAGCGGTTTCTAGAGCTTAAATTTCCGAAACGTGTTGAGATAAAGACATAAAATTTGGTATTCTAGACTAGTTTTTTATGCTGGATTTAAAAATATTAACAATTTCAGACAGTTTTGTTTGGAAGCGTATGTAACAGGGACGGACTCAGGTTATTTTAGCCCCAAAATTTTTGTGTGATTCTATTTTTGAAATTGAATTTTAGAATTTGAAAATTCAGGGTTTTCTACACAAAAAAGGTACCCTTATTGAATATCGATAAATTTTGCCATTTTTGAATAAAATCAAACTAAAAAATTTGTCACATGATAGGAAATACACTGCGAATTTAAATGAATTGTTGATTATACATAGTTAGCCATGACTGCAAACAAAAGTTGTTTTGATTTGTTATGACTTATTTTGACGTTAAGCTGACATTGTTAGCAGTGTAAAATACCAAATTTTATGTCCTTATCTCAACACGTTTCGGAAATATTAAGAAAAAACCATCTTCATGGGGCCCCTTTAAAAGACCGTAGCGCCCTTAGGGGACGTTTGTCGACCTATGTTTATATAAACGTTTCTTCTTATTTTAAGCTCTAGAAACCGCTGGTAGAATATTGCACACTTTTTTCGGGACACCCTGTATATACAAGTACCTTCAGACGAGGTTGTAGGAATATGTGGTGTAATTTAATTTAGATACTTGATGAAATCATAAATAGTAATTTTTAACAGAGCTTTGAAATACTGAAGATTCATACTAAGTTGTGTATAACTCGAAAATGTTCAAGTTTAGAAGAGACTAATCGCAGGCTTTTTCTGTCAAGTAAATTGATTCTGCAGACACGTATAATAAAAAAATGTATCAAGTCAGCCAAACAGGAGCATATAATTAATGCATTCTCCATAGTCTCCACTCATTCGATAACAATAAGGCTAGTTTCTTCCCTGCGCTAAATATCGACCATTTGGCAACGGTGCTAAACCACACCAGTCGAACATGCCATAAGCGCCTGCCAGGATTCTATAACTCGAGGTCGAGAACGCTGGCGATACAGTTAGACGCACGCAGACTTTGGAGCAATGTTGCCATTTGTCATGACCGACAGCGTGTTAGTAAAGGGTGTTCGAAAAATAGACGGAGATATTTTAGAGGGAGATTCGTTGTTGAGAAATATTAAAAATGGGCCTGGAGTGATAAATTTAAAAAAAAATATTTTTTTTAGTGAAATCTCGCAAATGAAATTGAAGAACTGACGCGCAAATGTCAAACTTCCATGCAGAAATGATATTTTGTGCAAAAATTAATAAACCAGCTTTGTCCACAGTGACATGCAATAAAACGGTTCTTATTTTTTTTCTCGAAACCGAAGTGTAATACCAAAAATACAAAAGGCAAATAATTTATATTTTTCGATGCTTGATCAAACAACAAATATTAAAGTTACATAAAAGGTAATGGCGTACACTTTTTGCTAATAATATTCGCAGAGGTGCCGCGGGACGCCACTGGACTTACTAATTTTAGTCTATTTAGGGCTAAATTAGCATCTTAATAAAACAAATAATATTGCCAATTTTCAACAAAATCGAGTGAATATAATATTTTTTAAGATACTAATAAAAAAAATTAATTTATCACCGGACCCATAGTTATAGAATCGTTTTTTCATATTTTTTCATATCACCCTCTAAAATATCTCTGTCCATTTTTCGAATACCCTGTATTTCTCTGAGCTCCTAGTTAGGTATACTCCTACAAAACAATTTCTGAAAATGAAACGTCAAAAAACGAAGTTTGAGCGTTTTTTATTATTTTGTTTTTTACACTCCACTCCGCCACCACTGGATCAATTTTCAAAAACTGTAAAGCTTTTCCGTTTCCAAGGTTCTCGTTATGTACATCCCATATAACCTCCAAAAATATATCTCACTTTCAAATTTTTGAGCAATTATGTTTTTGTAGTATACAAATTTATACTAAGTGACATATAAATCCGAACACCCAGTTTAAATGATTTTATTTTAATAAAATTATGTATAAGTACTTAATGAAGCATAATAAGTAAATGATAAAAATGTCAAAATGATTGCACTGCTTTGAAGCCCTTAGACCTTTAATAATGTGTGGATGCACCCTGATGTGCTACGCATTCTCCAACGCACCTAGGCATGCTTCTGATCAGGTGGTCAATGTCCTCCTGTGGTATCTCATTCCAGGCAACCACCAACTCCTCTCGAAGTGCTTCTAGAGTCTAAGGAGGACGTTGCAAATTGAGCAATCTCCTACCCATCATATCCCACACGTGCTCAATTGGGGATACGTCTTGAGATCTTGGTGGCCATGGTGACAATGTGACATCATTATGTTGAAAGAAGTCTATTGTGACTCTTGCAACATGTGGTCGGGCATTATCTTGTTGGAAAGTTGGATCTGCCAGGGTGTCAAGATAGGGTAAAAGATGGGGTTCTAGAACTTCGTGGATATAACGCTGCGCGTTCATGTTACCTCTGATGAAGATTAAAGGTGACCTGGAACCATAAGCTATAGCACCCCAAACCATAACTCCAACAGTGTGATGAACATGTCTTTCAACAAAAAACTGTGGATTCCTCCTTTCACCACGTCGCCTTCTAACCCTGGCACGACCATCGTGCATGCCGAAACAAAATCGAGACTCGTCACTAAAGACAATACTGTTCCATTCCTGATCCCAGAGTGACCGTTGTCTGCACCACTCAAGGCGATTACGTCGGTGTTCTCGAGTTAAAGGGAGGACCCAGTGTGGCCGGTATGAAAACAAGCCAAAACTTTTCATTCGTCGGTAAACACTTCGCATGCCAATAGGTCTTCCGTGTTCGGCAAACCATTCATTTGCAATGGACCTGGTAGTGGAGAAACGGTCCCTTAAGGCCAATAATCTTAGGCGGCTATCTTCACGGTCTGTTGTTCTACGGCGGCGTCCAGTGCCCCTTGCTCTTTGCGTACGGCCTTCTCGAAGCCATGCCTGACAACACGTAACCACAGTGTCTACACTTCTTTGCACTCTAACTGCAATTGCCCGAAAAGAAAGTCCAGCTTCCCGAAGTCCCACTATACGGCTCCTATCAAACTCACTAAGTTTACGAAATCGTACAGGTTTCCGTACTCTAGGCATCGTAACCGATCGTAAAGGATGTCAAGTACCAAAATCAGCCAACGATGATTCTTTACTGCGGCTGAAATATTCATGTTTACAGCGTTAGTGAATTAAAAAAAAGCAGTATAAAAACCGGAATGTCCAACTGATAAGGCTGAAAATTTTTTCACTTGTTATTTACAGTAAGATAAATACATTCACCAACTTTTATTAAAATAAAACCATTTAAACTGGGTGTTCGGATGTATATGTCACTTAGTATATTTGGTTATTTTCAATAAGATGCCGCGCGGGGACACAGTTTTTTCCAATTTTGTACGATTCGAGAATGATCTAACATCTTACCAACAGACTAACATGTGTCTAGTAACTAGACTCCATACACTACAAAGTAAATTCCGTCAAAGTGACATTGATAAGTGAGATTTTGAGGTTATGTTTTGATGTCATGCATGTCAGTTTTGTTACTGAATGTGTAAAGAAAGGAAAATAACGGAACCAAGTATGGCTTGAATTCAATTAAAATGAGCAGGCAAGGTTGTGCAAGCTTATTGCTGATAACGACGAATGTTTTGATACTATTCGGTGGAGTATGCGATGTCACATTCGGTTCCATGTCAGAACTGAAAAGCGCTGCAGAAAGAGTGATACTGATCGTTTCTGGCATCATCAAGATATTTGTATGCGCACCTCTAGGAATATACGCCACCGCTTACAGAAATGTTACAATGCTCCGTGTATACGCCGGTATAGTCTGTGCAGTAGTACTGTTAGAAATCATATTCGCAAGCGTACTGATAGCACAAGGAAAAGGTAAAATACCGGAAGCTATAAAAACTAGTGCGAATAAGAAATTCGATAACTACGCTGACAACAGAGAAGATAGAAAATACGTGGATTGGGTTCAGGAACATTACAAATGTTGTGGAGTAGATGGTCCAGATTACTGGACTGAAAGGAACATTTCGATCCCTTACTCATGTTTAGATAATAATAAGAAAGTCTATTCGACAGGGTGTTCAGACGCAGTGGAATCGTATAGCGTAGAGTTTTCACTGGGCGTTGCTGGTGGTACAGCCATAACGGCTGGATTCAAGATTATTGCAATAATGCTGGCATTGCATTTGCAATACACGTTGACGCACCACACAGGATATTACGAGTAATGAACAAAAGAAAAGTGAAGAAAATGCAACCAAATGCAGAACTGTATGTACGAATAAAATGTGATATCTACAATACGTCGAGTAGCTAAATTCTGTTGGATGTATTCCCCTTCAATAGCTTCAAATTTTGTGCAGAGTCAACCTACTTGACGTTATTTTTCATTAATCTTAATAAAACATCTGTAGTTTCATACAATAGTTTCAAATTTTGCATGTAAAGTGAAGAGTTAACCTACCTGATGTTATTTTTCATCAATCTAAATAAAAATCAATTTTATATTTACGCCCAAGTACAACGCCTTTCTAGAAGTTCAAAATTTAGCTGAGATTATCTTCCATTTCAAAAAGGCCTTATAGATAGTTTTGAAAAGAGATCAACTTTTCAAAATTCCCCAAAACTTTGCAGTCAATCCCTTTTTGATCAATGAATGGTTGTACCATGAGGGAAACTGGTTAGAAGGGGTACTTTTCATTTACACATTTTTTTATATGGTGGCTATGATCGGTCCACAACAATGCCAGGTGTACAGTGGACTTTATTTAGTCTGGTCTTCGCATCTGATGAGAAAAATTTTCTGATTCGGATTTTTTGCATAATCTTATTTAAAAAGGGCAGCTTTTTATGAATCGCATGATTCCAGGTCCAAATTTGCTGGCAAAATTTAAAAAAAAATGTTTTTCAACGAATTTCAAAAGTTGTTTTTTTACTCTGATCAAAATGTGTCTAGGTTATCTGGGACATTCTGACCAAAAATGTGCTTTTTGAATGTTTCTCTAAAGTTGATAGTTTTCGATAATAATAGTAATACAATAATTTAAAAAATGCGAAATATTCCATTTTCGACCCCAAAAAACAATATGAAAAAACGAAGATTTTAATGTTGCGAATGTTTTTTAAGATCCTGCAGTCGTTAACAATATCTCAAAGCATTTCAAGAGGTACTGTTACTGTGAAGCTTTTGTTTTTTGATTGTTAATAAAATAACTAAACAAATAATTAAAGGCTGTAACAATGGAAATTATATGTTGACGTCTTAATACAGCATAGGCGTGGGCAACTTTGATTGACAATTACGTCATCTATATGTATAGTGAGGGAAAAATCAACACAGTTTTTTTTTGACATCGAACCTGGCTGAACATGAGATGAACGCTGAATCCGCGATCAATTACGCTGGGCATGTTTTACATAACCGATAGCGGCTAAAGCTGCAGCCTCAGTGGATAAGTAGAGCATGTTCCTGCATTCTACCGTGAACGCCAAACGCTAAACAATACCAAATGCACACTAGGAAAAAATCAATTTGTCTATCGGCACACTAGATTCGGTTTTTACCAAAGTATACAGACTCGAGGATAGTAGGGCCGCTGAGCTGATACCAGCTTCTTCCTATGTAAATTGGGCTAAAACGTTCATGGGGACCATTTTCAAATTCGATTTTACTTCCTACGGCGCTGGCTAGGAAGGCAAGAAGTACTATCTATAATAAATAATACAGGCAGTCCGCAAAGTTGGGGTTTTCCTATACACGACGTGTAGATCTTGAAAACATAAGCAATTTTTCTTAGTACCATATACACCAATATTTTAAAGGAACCGAAATAAAGGGCTCTGCAACATCAAAAATATCTGAATACCGTCCTGTAGCCGCGACCCGCGACATCACTGAGTGGTACAAGGTCAGTGGCTCAACCCGACGACAGAACTGGGTCGGGGTCAGTGTGTCAGGTCAGTATGAAACCTTCAACCGACGGTTACGGTCACGCGTGTAGAGGTAAACGATCCAGTATAATCGATTGCGTTTAAACAAAAATAATAATGGCACACTGATACACCATGAACTCGTTGATACGTTGTTAATTTATGGCGAATGTCTTCTAAATGCTACAGAGGCTTCGCGAGTGTATGCAGATCGTTTCCCTAGACGACATCATCCAAGGCCCCGCAGATTTGTGTACCTGGTCCAGAGAGTCAGGGATACGGGCCATTTGGAGGAATTTCGAGGTGGGCACAGTGGGAGGCCTAGACAACCACGGATGGTGCAAGTTGAGGAAGAACTACTGAATCGCGTAGACGAGACGTGGCTAGAGAAGTGCAAGTATCAAAAACTAACGTGTGGCAAACGCTGCGTGAAGAGGGGCTGTATCCATTTCACGTCCAACGTGTACACGCCCTTCAACCTGACGATTTTCCAGCAAGAGTGCGGTTTTATGAGTGGTTGTTGCATCAACATGACAATAATCCGGACTTTTTGAAGTGCATATTGGTGACAGACGAATCTACGTTCACGCGTAATGGGGTGAATAACTTTCGCAACACTCATGTTTGGTCAGTAGAAAATCCGCACGCTGTCCGTCGGGCACATTTTCAACAAACATTTTCGGTGAATGTTTGGGCTGGCATGGTGAACGGTATGCCCATTTATTCTTGCAAATCGATTGGACGGGATGCAATACCTAGACTTTTTACGCAACATTTTGCCTTCCTTGTTAGAAGATGTGCCATTAAGTGTAAGACAATCAATGTGGTTTCTGCACGATGGTGCACCGCCCCATTTTAGGCGCGAAGTGCGTGAGTTTTTGAATGAATTATTTCCGAATAGGTGGATCGGACGTAATGGACCCGTAGCGTGGCCTCCGCGATCTCCAGACTTAACACCATGTGATTTTTTTCTTTGGGGAGAAATGAAACGCTTAGTGTACAAAACTGAAGTGCATACGGTTGACGAACTTCGTCTCAGAATTGAACAAGCTGGTGCTTTCATTCGGGGGAGGGACTCCATTCTCAAAGCCTGCACCGATGCTTGGCTACGTCGTGCACGCACCTGTGTTTTTTAATCAAACGGTGATAACTTCGAACAATACCTATAAAGTACGTTTACCTACAAACTGAAAACGCGGCAACGCCGTCATATTTGTTACCTCTGTTCGTGGTCTGCACCACCGCCTGCGTCTGCTTGGTAGCGCATCAGCTGATTTCATTTTCTGTTGGAGCGGTATGATTTCGGGCAGAGACGTACTTAGCCCTTCTCGTCAACTGGAGAGTGAGTACTTTTTCCTTTATTTTTTTTTACTTGGTCGCCCTCGTTTCACTACACATTACCTTTGTTATTTCAAGGGTAGTTGTTTCTCAAAAGGACAACCCCAACTTTGCGGACACCTTGTATAATAATAATGTTAATATAAAAATAAATAATAATAATTATAAACAAAGTGTTTAAGGGCCGTATCGTCAGTCGTTTCTACTATTATTGTAGGACGCCTTTATGGCCTCTTTGATTTTCATAGTATTTTCTCTCCTCCATAAAGGCGAGGGTATTTCTAGGTTCCTACTGTTCCGTCTCCTATAGTTAGGTTATGATTTCTTTTTGAATCTTAAGATATATGAGGCAGATGATAAGAATCAAGTTTATTCGATCTATAATTTATCAGAATTCAAAAAGAAAATATAACCTCAAAATAGACCATTGACACAAAACAGTAGAACTCTAGAAAAGACATTTCTGAAGAATAGGAAAAACTAAGAAGCCCTACAAATTTTCATAGTTTCAGTATCAGCGCTCTATTTTGAGGTTATGTTACAAATATCTATTTGCCTCAAATTGTTTATGCTTTTGATTTATATTATCTGTTATACCAGCCTGAAATTTCAAACGATTCAAAAACAAAACAGCCTCACAGAACGAGAGCCCTGAAGCTTGACACGGAACAGTATAAGTCTAGAAATATCCCAGCCTTTCTGAAGGAGATAAAAGACTATGAAAATCAAGGAGGCCATAACAACTGACCATACGGCCTTGGACTACTAAACATAAGAGAAAACCCGCAGAAGGCTGGTTTTATACTCGTGTATACCCGATTGAATAAAAAACAACTTGTAAGAAGTACATGAAAATGGTTTAGAATGACATACGATTTACCACTTAATGACTTAATATAAAACTTGACAGTACAAGAGTAGGAATAATTTCAGTTGATCATGAGTTGATGCTTTTTTTAATTATTGCTACATATTTGGTGTAGTTTCGGAATTATTTTTCTTCTCTTTTTGATAACGCATTATAGAGTTTCTTGTCAAAAATGGGATTATTAGTATAGCATAAGTATATCGTCAACATCGGTAAAGTCATTTTAGGCTTATCAAATTAACAGTGACTTTTTTATGTCAATAATTTTATAAGCTCTCTTTCTGGGCATAGATATTATGCAGTCTTTCACTTCTTTTTAAATGGGTATTTGGAGTAAACGAGTTTCAGATCTTGTGGAAGGAAATTGTAAATCGCCCGCCCAAGTAAAGACACGATCTGAGCATGACATCTTTTCTGGTTTAGGGACCTTCTTTCTGGTGTACTAAGTGTGATCTTGAATTGTGGGACGATACACGAAAGGCACATGCACAACTCAAAATTAATTTTCACAATTTTTCTTCAAATCAAGAAAAGTTTTTTCCAAGAAAGTCAATGCTACAATGTATCCTTCATATCAATTACATTCCGTGGCCCAGGCATATTTAGCCTACCAGGGGGAGCAAAAGTTACCTGTACGAAACTCACAGGCAAAATTCAAATTTTAATTTTCTCAATTTTTCTTTAAATCAAGAAAAGTTTTTTTCAAGAAAGTCAATGCTACAATGTTTCCTTCATATCCTGGAATAATAACATTCCGTGACCGGGCCATATGAAACCTACCAGGGGGAGCGAAAGTTACCTGTACGAAACGCACATGCAAAATTCAAAATTAATTTTCTCATTTTTTCTTCAAATCAAACCACTTTTTTTTCACGGAAGCTTCGTGTTGCACAGTCAAAGCTTTTATGAGGTATAATTGTGTTATGTCTAAAGTGCCAGGTTTTCTCAAACAGCTGCTAACTTGGATTCAATCTAGGTTTATGCGATATGATTTTTCAAATACTTTTTTGCCTCCAGTTTGAATATATGAGTTGCGTTTGCTGCCTCCCACGCTATTATGCCGTAGTGCACATTTCTAATAATTTTTATTTT